GAGAGAGAGAGAGAGAGAGAGAGAGAGAGAGAGAGAGAGAGAGAGAGAGCTGCCAAATGGTGATATGGCACGTGGCCATCTGCCACGTGGCAATCCTCGGACAAGGCCGCAGCGCCGCACACGGAGGCCGGACACCCGCGGATGGCGGATGAGGACGCGACCAGGAAAGGATTAGTGGTAAGTTCTTTTTCTATTTTTTTGTAATCTTCTTCCTCTTCGTGTTTTTTTCCGTCCCTTTCTTCTTCTTCTTCTTCTTCTTCTTCTTCTTCTTCTTCTTCTTCTTCTTCAAAATTCTTCTTCGAAATTCTTCCCTCCTATGTATCCCCCGCGGCTGCGGTCACCGCGGGCACGACCGTGGACCGTGGTCTCGGCCGCGAGGCCGCGGTCATGACCGCGGTCCACGATCATGAAAAAAGAAAAACAAAAAAATATCAGAAAAATCTGAAAACAATACATATTATGCAAAAACATAAAATGAACAACTTTTGCCTTGGGGTCATATCAAAATTCGTTACCAAATTTGAGATAAAATTCAAACAAAGTCCTTTATTTTTCTTACTAAAAAAATAAAGTGAAGAACTTTTGGTTGAGGGATTTCTGTTTTTCATTTTTTTTTAATAAAAAAAAAAGTCGAAAAATAAAACTAAAAAATACGGTTGTAGAGCGCACAAAATCTTAAAATATATATATATTTTTTTTCTTTGGCCTATTAACCTAGGATTTAAAAATGTCGGGGTTTTCCGACCGCACTTGGTTGTGGGCGCCGACCGCGTGCGGTCAACTGGCCCGTGCTCATGACCGCGGGTGATACATAGTTCCCTCCTTTTCTTCTTCTTCTTCTTCTTCTTATTATTATTATTATTATTATTATTATTATTATTCAATTTTGTTCCCTCCTTTCTTTTTTCTTCTTTTTCTTCGATTTCTTCTTCTTGTCTTTTTTTCCTTCTTCTTCCTCTTCGATTTCTTCTTCTTCTTCATATTCTTTTTTTTCTTTTTTTTATGTGTGTGTGTGTGTGTGAGAGAGAGAGAGAGACACAGAGAGAGAGGGAGAGAGAGAGAGAGAGAGAGAGGGAGAGAGAGAGAGAGCGGC